CGCGTCCGCAACCGGGGGGGGGGGGGGGGGGCGCAACAACCAGCCCGGCATCACAATACCAGCGGGTGAGCGGCGCCCCCGGACTCGCCCGGGCCCAGCCACTCCAGTCGGCCGCCGGGGCGGGAGAGCTTTAATAGGCTTCGCAAACACTTCTGGTGCCGGAGACGCCGCCCTCCCCCCCCACCCTGCAATGTAAACACTCGCCGGGCACAATGCCCCCGCCGCAGCCCCACACTCCCTCGGCCACTTCTCTCTCGCCCGGGCGCGGCCCCCGAGGGCTCTGGGAGGCGGCGGCGGAGGAGAGGTGCGTCTCCGGCTCGCACTCTGTCCCCGACTGGGAAGCTGCTCCCAGTCCCAGTCCCTTCCGGCTCTCCTTCGGCGGCGGGGCGCGGAAAAGGCTCCTTGTTCTGCGGCTCCCGCAAATCGGATTTATAAAAGGACGCAAACTTAAAAAAAATAAAATCTGTTTTTAAAAAAAGATTGGTACTATTTGAATATTTAGACGTGAACAGCTGAAAACTTCGATTCTTGAACTATCAGCAATCCAAATATGGTTCTCAAATGCGCAACTCAATAATGCAGTTAAAACAATCTTTGGTTAAGGGCGCTCAGAATCACACGAATGACAGAAATTCCTCTGGAAAATCACCACATCTGGGGGGGGACCCCAAGCCCTTAATCTTTTTAAAACTCGACAGATGCTGCCGATAATGATAATGTATATTTCAACTCAGAAGGGTGCGTTTCGGCTATCAGTCGGACTGCAGTCCCACCTAACGTGGTTGGAAGTGAATCCCAGTGAATTTTCCCGTTGGCCCAGTTGGGACCGACCGCAGGCACCCTGAAGACCCACCCGGCTTCTCCGGCCTACTGGCAAAGGGATCCTCCTCACTCCGATTGGGTCGCTGCTTTGTTGGGCTTCGAATCTCAGGCGGCCACCCGGATTGTCTGGCTTCTTGTGCAGCACGATTTTACGCACGTTTCCCCAGAAGTAAGTCCGCGCGTCTCCCCAGGAATTGCGGGCTCAACGTTTTACTGATCTGGAGGCATTTAATTTTTTAAAAATTGTTCCGTTTCAATCGCATTGAGCTTTATACACGTTTGGCTGCGATGACTCCGCAACTGGGTGTCAACGCAAAAACAACAACAGCGCCCATTTCTTATTGCCAACTGGGAGGCCTTGGGTGCGTGTAGGGGGGGGAGGGAGGGGAAGGCAGACAGTTCAGGGGTTGAATCCGTCGAACCACTTGTGGTCTTCGCCCCCCCCCCCGCCCCCCCCCCCCCCCCAAGCCGAGCCTGCCTTTGTCATATAATTTTTTGTACCCGCGTGTCCTCCAGCTGGCTGGGCCAGCCGCACTCATCCGTTAAAGATGTACTTAAAGCTTTAAGAAGGGACGCGTGGACGGGGCTGCTGCTTTCAACGGTTCTGGTGCGGATCCAGAGGCGCGCAATTAGGGGCCAATCTGTTGCCGCCTCTGCGCCCTCCGGCCCGCCTGGGGCCTCGCCGCCTGGGCCTCTCTCTCTCTCTCTCTCTCTCTCTCTCTCTCTGGGCCCGCAGAGGCGGCGGGGGGGGGGCGCGTCTGTCATCCTGCGCGCCTCCCGCCCAAGAAAGTTGGAGGCGGCGGCCGCCCAGAGCCGGACTTTAAACAGACACCCACCCACCCCCGACCCGCAGGCCTACCCGGCTTTGTGGGCTGAGTAAACTCAAAGCTGTCAAGTTGTCAACGCGCCGAGCCTCGGATCTACTACCAAGTAAACGGACTCAACCCAGGCAGAGTCCGTTTCAATCCCCATTCATCTCAATGGGCGAAGACAGAGTGCTCTCCTCCTCCACGTGTGTCCTGAGCAGTAAACCCCGCCGGGGCCGAGTGTGGGCAGAGAGTGTAACCCGGGAGGCTTGCACGGAGATCAGGGGGATTGAAAAGTGCGCAACCGGGGGGCGGGCGGATCGTGCCCAGTGCGCTTCGGAGCCCGCGGCCAGCAGGCCGGCCCGGCCTCTGAAAGGGAGGGCGCGGGCACCCAGCCTCCGGGAGCAGGCGAGTATTTGCATCTGAATTAGGTCGCCCTCCGTTGCGACACAAAACCGGTTACATGGAAGTGTTTAGATCAAATGGCTTCAAATCCTAGTCTTTGTCTGGCTGGATTAAGGAGCTTCTCTGTTTCGTTTCTCTGAACGCGGACTTGTCTCCAAAGGACTGCACGGAGTCTCGGAAGAAGAGGAGGAGGAAGAAGAGGAGGAGGAGGAGGAAGAAGAAGCAGTAGCAGCAGGGAGTGGCGGGGCGGAATCCCCCCTGGCAAAGGCCAGGGAAAGACCAGCCGCCGGGAGTATTTCGCTCTGACTCTGGGCAGATCTGCGGGTCGAGGCCCGATCCGGTCACTTCTGCTGGTCTTGGGGTTGTCAGGCCAGTCCCTGAACTGCTGAAGCGGGAGGAAGTTCTGACCACCTTCTCCAGAGAGGCAGCCTCCTTGGCCTCCGGTCGCCAAATCTAGCCGAAGGCTCTCCCGGCTTCCCGCCAACTACGCAAAACTGAATTATTCAAGAGAGCCTTCGCAGGCTATAGAGTTGCACTGTATGAAATGAGCCCCAAAGTTACTCAGAGAAGTCTTTAGGGATTGACTGTGGTCTATGCCTGCGACTGTGTTTCGCTTACTGAAACTAGGATCCTGCTATGTAATTTTTCTGTCATTTAATGTGCCACGTTAAGACCTATGCTTTGCCCCAGTTCTGTTTTTCGGTTTCTGACTGGTTCTACAACCCTCAGGGCTACTTTTGGGCAGGAACGCACAGGAACGGAGTTCCGGCTGGCTTCAGAGTTGGCCACGCCCACTACAGCCAAAACCTCTGCGAGGAGGCTACAGAGGGAAGGCCTGGAGAGCGACCTCTCTGGCAACTCCAAGGCAGGAGGGCCAGAGGGGGCCTGGAAGGATCGGGGAGGCATTTAAACGCCTCCCGGTGCCGTCCCTGGCCTGTCCAAGGGCTGCGTTGCCTGGGCTCCCCGCAGCCATGGGGTGCCTGGGCAAGGCAAGGGAAGACATGGGGGTTTGGCCTAATATGCTAATGAGCGGTGCTGTCAGGGGTGTGGCCTAATATACTAATGAGTTTCTGCTGTTGGGTGTGACCTAATATGCTAATGAGTTCCTGCTGGACTTTTTCTACAAAAAAAGCCCTGAGTCATCCCTGATCCTATTGTATTGTTTATTGAATACCCCATCCTGTCGATTATACTGACTCGCTCTCTATAATCCGCCTTGAGTCGGAGTGGGAAAGGTGGACCGTAAATGGCGCAAATAACTAATAAATGAATACTAACAACGGTGGCTTCGTGAGGCAGAGCTCACTTCCTCAGGCGCCTGGAGAGCGCGTCCCTTACAGGCAGGGCGCATTTACACGGAAGGCTGTGAACAACGGCGAGGCGGGGAGCAGGGGGGATCGGCCTGTAGAAGGCTATCTAGTTTCCTCCAGTTCTTCTAGGACCCTCTGTCTGGAATCTGGAGGGACAGATTTGTTCTTCTCCGAAGCCGATACAAAAGCAGGAGGTGGTCACGTCACGCTACCGGGAAAACGTCCAGCTGGTAGCACTAGAAAAATGCCTCCACTTTGATAGAACTACTGCCCTCCCGCCGATTATTTTTTTTAAGAGAGATGTTGCAGCTCAAGAGACCCTTTTGGAACCCCCCTGACCTTGGCATATGTGGGAACGCGCCCGGGTTATGATTTGGTCCTTCCCTGCTTTGGGGGCAGAAACGGAGTGGGCCAGTAACATTCTGCTCAAAATGGGGGGAGTGGGGAGATTCTGCACGTGTCCCCTGGTTTCAGGCTTGAGGCACCCCAGCTTTACTTTTGCAAGCCTTGGGCTGCTCGAGAGTAAATGCACCAAGTGACCTAGTTGCTTGCTGCATTGGGGGGGGGGCGGACGAAGCGGATCGGACCATTGGTTTGGACCGCGAGTCCGGAAGGGATGGCGGGCTTGGGTCGTGGGAGGAGGACT